ACTCTCTGACACCAATTTGTTACGTCTCCATTTGTTAATTAACTTTATGTAACTTCGTTCCGACGAAACTTTAGCGACACAAGTCCTTACTTAATAAAAGTGGTTTATTCTTTCCGAATACAACTTTACGATACACTTATTTTTAACAATCGCTCTATAACAAACGCTATATCAACGAACGTCAACAATACTTCTGACTGCAGTTCAATTACTCACTATCTACACACACATTACCTTACCGTCACGTTGTCACTCTCTTTTATATACCAGACTCCCCTATATCTAGTAAATGCTAGAGCATTCGCCAAAGTACAGGATAGTTCTAGACAGTAGAGGGCGTGAGAATAGTCACGTGATCTCGATGATGCAACAGTATTAAGGGAAAACAGTAATTAAAAGAGAAAGTGAATCAATAACAAGGCCATTGAAGTTGGAAAGCACAATTTTAAAGAAACAGAGGTTGGAAGTGTTTTCACTTATCCTAATGAAATTAAGATTAAGAACAGCAGGAGAAGCAAAATGCTACATTAGGGCTTATAATGAACTGTGTGAAACCACAGATTTTCAGTATCTAGCATGTAGGTTAGCAATGGAGTATAGGAAATGAGAAACAACAAATGTAATCTTAACAGAGATGAGCAACTTAACTCAGCAATGAGGGGAATCTGTCTGAGTTTTTGGACATAAGTTGCAGGAGTTGTGTAGGGCTTACATGCACCTTAAGACACCTTAAAATCTGAATATGAACAAGGGTTGTATAGTAATGCAGCTAGATATCATATAAATGAAGCAAATACTCCTCATGTAACTTTGCTTGATCTGATTGAAGTAATTATTCTAGAAGAGCTACAAGAGCAACAGATACACAGCACTAAACATTCTGCTGTGAATGTAGTGAATAGACCTAGTAAAACAGATTGGCAAAACAAACAAAGTAAGCCTGACAGCTTCCAGTGTTTTAACTGTGGCAAAGTTGGTCACACGACAAAGAACTGCTTTCAGAAACAGAAAACAAATGAGCAAATAACATGTTGTAATTGTGGCATTAAGTGTCACATAGCTTGTGACTGTTGATGTCAGCAGAAGGCAGAAAACAGAAGTGTTCCAAAGGCTGGAACTTATAAAGGAAAATTCCCCAAAAATAATGGTAGCCCTACATTTGCAGTAGGATCAAAAAATGAAACATCCACCAGAATTACAAAGTGAAAGTAGAGGTAGTTCTGGCAGTTTGGGATAAGAGATTGAGTGTCCATAGTGTTAATGAAGTATCATCAATAGTTGTAGTAGAAATAGAAGGTATAATATATCGATTATTGGTTGATACAGGTACTCGATCTTCACTACTAAGTGCAGAACTAGTAGATAAAAATCCGACATTGTTAGATAATGCTTGGAAAGAAGTTTCTAGAAGTATTTTAATTTTCATAACAGAACATCCTGTTAAAACACTAGGTAAATATAGTGTGCATATGAAAGTGGGAAGTTAGAGTT